GATATACATGTATGTATAACTGAATCACATTATACTGATTCAGTATACTGATTCCTGAAACTAACACAATATCAACTGTAATCAACCACACTCCAGTAAGAATTAAAAAGAAAAAACTGAGGAGTTTTGCAGGTAGACAGGAGGAAGGGCATTCCAGGCAGGCCGAGCCATGTGTGCAAAAGCCAGCTGCTTCTGAGTGAAGCTCCTGCAGGGGTTGGAGAGAAATCTTAGCTGAGGGATATGGTATGAACTGAGGCTGGAAATGCGGACGGGAAGGCCAGACTCTCAGAGGCCTTGAACACCAGACTGAGGGGACTGGACTTGGGAGCCATGGAAAAAATTAAATTTCTCACTTAGGCTTAATTTTATGCATGGCAGGGCTCTGAGCCGAGAATGGACAGGGTTAGATCTGGGGGTTTGAGGCAAACTCCAGGGTCATGATGGATGGGAAGGGGCTCCTGGGAATCCCATGAGATTTAGGACGTGACATTAGACTTGGTGATTGATTAGATGTGGTGGTGTCTGGGGATGGGAGGGAGGGAGGAGACAAGGGGAAAGAAGTTCATTAGAATTTGAACTCCTGGACAGGGTGCACGTGGGACCCTTCTGTCTGCATCCAGGACCCAGTGTCAGGCTGGACCTCTGCACACGTGTTGGAAGAGTGAATGACTGGCCCTTCTTTTTGGCTCTTGCCCTGCCCTTTAGTGTAGGGGTGGGGAGGCAAGGATTGACCCTAAACTCCTCAGCCTCTGTCCATCTGCCTCTCTCCTTTGTCTTACTTGCCTTCTCTGAATAAGAACAAACAAAATAATAATAATGTCTTTGTTGTTGTTTTTCAGTTGCTGTGTCATGTCCGACTCTTTGGCCCGCCAGGCTCCTCTGTCCATGGGATTCCCCTGGTGAGAATATTGGAGTGGGCTGCCACTTCCTTCTCCGGAGAATCTTTCTGACCCAGGGACTGCACCTGCGTCTCCTGCACTAGCAGGCAGGTTCTTTACCGCTGAGCCACCAGGGAAGCCCAATAATAATGACTAGTCCCTCCTTTTGTCCAGCACTTTAGCTCGAAGGGAGGGTATTCACATTCATTCCATTTTGGGGCTGCAGCACTGAGTCTGCAGGAGGGGGGTGTCTTGCCCTGTTGGTCTGAAACAGAGCCAGGTCAAGGACAGGAAGGCTCATTGATCATTTTTGAGCCCAGATACATTTTACCTGCGCCACCTCCCTGCAGCCTCGCTCCAGTCCCGCACACTTGAGGTTACAATAATAATTCATTGCTGTTTCACAGGTGATAAATAGAAGCCTTGATGGCGCAGTGGAAAGAGCCAGACGTGTCTGACCCCACCTGCTGGGTGGCCTTGGGCCAACTGCTCACCGCTTGGCACCTCAGTTTCCCTGTCTGTCCTGTGCCCCAAAGAGGTGGGGACCTGGCCCTGAAGGTAATTCTCATGACTGGCCAGAGAGGAGACGTGTCCTCTCAAGGTTAGTCATGGAGAGATGGGATTGGAATCCAGCCCCCCTGACTTCCGGGTCTGTGGGCTGTCTGTCCGCTGACACCCCCAAATCCTTGGGCTGCTGTTGGACACCCAAGAAGGGGGCTTGGCTGGGCTGGAGGGACTTCAACCCTCTGAAGCCCGAGTCCGACCTCCTTCCACACCCTTCCTGGCCTGTCCCCAGGGAGGGAGCAAAGATTCATCAGTTAAGGCACCAGCTGGCGGGCGGCCGTGAAAGGACGAGAGCACCAGCTGCCCAGAGACTCCCTACTGAGGAGCCAGGCCAGGGGGGGAAGGAGGAGAGGGCGGCGGGCGGGAGGAGGGAGGCGGCAAGCAAAGTCCGTGACTGAAGCGTCTGGCACGGTTTGCGGCCCTTCCCCCCAGCCCTTCCCCACACCAGTCCACACCAGCTGGGTCTCCTTCTCCTTCACCTCCTGCCCTTCCTTCTGAAGCACTGGAAATCTGTGCATCCTTGGTACTCGCCCGCCAGCTGGGTGACGTCCTTGGGCAAGTCACTCAACCTCTGTGAGCCTTGGTTTCCCCTTGGGTCCAGCAGGCATCACAATATACATGTCATAGGGTCATGGTGAGGAGTGGAAATGCTGACACCACCAAGGGACTGGGAACTGGGGTGTGGAAGGCATTTTCCCTGCTTCCCTGGGGGGGATGATGATGCAGATGAGCCCCCACCACCCTATGCCTCCCCCAACCCATCTCTCTACTTGATCACAAAGCGGTCCCAGTAATCATTGCTATTGAAGGAACGATGACTACTTGCCAGGCCCATGCTGATCAGTTGGGAGGCATTAATTTCATTTGGACATAGTCTTTCCTGATGAACAGGAAGGACTAGACACAGGAGGGTGTGGAGGTTCAGAGAAATCAAGTTTCTTGTTCAAGGTCACACAGTCCTAGAGTGACTGGGCAAGTTATTAAATAAAATGGGGCACTTCTGAGACTCAAAGGAGGTGCTGTTGATAATCACGCCAGGACTGAGCCAGGCAAGCAGGGGAGGATGTTGCTCTATGTGGACATCATGTGGCCAAACTAGGATTCTCAGCCAGGCCTGATCGATCCTTCTGGAATAGGACCCTGGGTTCAATTCTGGATATTCCCCCTACTCCCCTGACCCAGATCAAGTCTCATCATCTCCCTGGGCCTCAGTTCCCAACTCTGCCAAAGGAGCACCATGGAGGCTACACAGTGTAAAGCCCAGAGTTACAGCTCTAACTCCTCAAGCATTGAGGTCCAGAGAGGGGCAGTGATCAGGTCAAGGTCACACAGCAAAGTCAGGGGCTCAATGAGGATTTGCCCCCAGTGTGTTGGCTCTTTGGGAATGAGGTAATGATGAAACAAATGCAGGTAAAGTCCTTGCTTGGCACCGTGCCTGGCACAGAGTGACCAGCCACCCCCCTGGGATCCTAGGTCTGAGAGGTGGAAAATGAATGGGCTCTGTTCTCACAGAACCCAGTTTGTGTCCCTGCCTCTTACTGTGTGATCTTAGCCAACACTGTCCATTGGAACTTTCTGCCATGATGAAATGTTCTAGATCCTCACTGTCCAATACGAGAGCTGCCAGTCACATGTGGCTATTGGGCACCTGAAATGTGGCCACTGTGACTAGGGAATTAAAAATTTTTTTTTTCCTGGCTGCACCATGCAGACTGTGGGATGTTAGTTCCCAGACCAGGGAACGAACTCTGGCCTCCTGCACTGGAAGCACGGAGTCTTAACCACTGGACCATCAGGGAAGTCCCTGAATATTTTATTTTCATTAGTTTAGATTAGAATAGTCACATGTGGCTTATGGTTACCCCCTTGGACAGCACAGCCTTAAAAAAATTATTTAACTTTCTCTGATCCTCAGTTTTCTTCTCTCAAAAGTGGGGCTCCTGAGCACCCACTTTGTGGGGTTCTTTCTTCCCAGGAGAGTTGATAAGTGCTCAGAATAGTGCAGGGCCTATAGTAAAGATGATCAGTAAAGGGTGACTTCATTTACAAGTTCCTTTTGGCTTTGTTCCCCCCAGCTGGCCCTTCCTTTCCTCCCACCACTCTCTGTATACTGGGTCTGAGAGGTGAGAACCCCTGTTTCTTGTCACCCACAGGGCAGCCGGCCCACAGGAGGGCCTCACCCCTGCAAAGATCCGTGTGATCGTCTTTGGCCTCTTGAGAAACTGCACGGCTTCACTGTCGGCCAGGTCCTGGAGGCTTTCCGGGATATGCATGGCGGCTGTTCTGCTGCCCGGGCCCTGGGAGGCCAGAGCAGGGATGCTGGGTTCTGCCGGCTTTGCACCGCCGTCTGGAGGTTCCAGGCCCACCCTAGGGCTCGGCTGCTGCAAGACAACAGGGATGGTGGGGGTTGGTTAGAGTCCAAGCTGCAGGGTAAAGGGGCTGCCAGGGGTCCCAGGAGGAGGGGGTATGGGATGGAGGAGTTTTGGGGAGGGTACCAGGATGGGGTTCGGTGGGGTAAGGGGTCTGCCAAGAGTCCCGGAGAAGGGGATATGGGATGAGAGAGGGTACTTGGGGTCCCAGGACAGGGTTATGTGGGGTGAGAGGTCTGCAGGGTTCTTAGAAATTGGTGCATGGGGTGAAAGAGCTGTTAGGAAGCCCCACTTCCAGGTGGGGGCACAGGGTGAAAGGGTGGCTCGATGGTCCTATGAGTTGGGGTGCAGGCTGAGGGGGCTTCAGAGAATTCCAAAGTGGGGTAAGGGGTGAGGGGGCTGCTGAGGATCTTAGGAACTAGGAATGTAGGCTGAGGAGGATGTGGGGTGAGGGGGCTTCCAGAGTCCCAGAAGTGGAGGGGCAGGGTGGGGAGACTTGGGCCAGGGAGAAGGAGAGGTGAGAGGGTAGGATACTGGGGTGATGTCTCTGACACAGGAGCCAGAGTGCCCATTTTAAGGACTGTGTTAATGGGATTTTTGAGGGATAAGGGGTGCTAGAATGGCAGTCAGAACACCTGAAAGGTCTGAAAACAGGAGGATCCCTTTCAGATTTGGGGGCAACAGCACGCATAGTGGAGACCCCAGGCACCTCAGGGTAGATTTTAGGCTGTCCTGGTGATTTGGGGTGATTGCCTTAGAATCAGGGCCTCCCCTTAGAATTCAGCTCCATCTTCATAAAAGTGCATTTCCTCAAGTTTGGACCTCAGATGTGTGGGGAACATGGTCTCTGAACTCAGCTGTCCCCTCATAATAAGGAGGCCAAGCCCCTGGCGTTAAGCTACCTTCAGAGAATCGGGGTTCTTCCTTTAAGGCGTGGAGTGGGGGTGGTGAGGGTTCGGGGTGATGCTGCCTGATAAAGGGTCAGCCTTACTCTGGAGGCCCAGTTTACGTCACCTGCAGGCCGGATCTTCCTTCCGCCCACCCTCCCCTCCTGGTCCCCGGCACCACCTCAGCCTTCTTTTTCTTCCTCTTTTTCCCGCCTTTTCGTTCCTCCACAGCTGATTGGCTGCGCTGAAGCCCCGCCCCAATCCCCCCGCCTATTCTAGAGTTGACACGAGCGGGGGCGTGGCTTCAGCGGACGTTGGGCGGCCCGCCGTTGGCGGGCTGTGCACGGGAATCCCTGCCCCTGTCCCAGTAGTCCCCGGAGTCTCGCGCCCGCCCCGCCTCTTCCCCTTTGAAGTTTGTGGACAAGGAGATACTTCTGAAACGCATGCGCCGAGTCCAAGCAAAGCGCGTGAAGCAAGCCAGGCCGACTGCGCATGCGTAGTCGCGACTGGGCGTTAGAAGAAAATGGACTCCGTCCGATGACCCAAGCATTGCGCATGCGTCGTACGGCGGCTTGAAGCCGAACCTCGGAGGCCCAGGGCGCCTTTTTGCACATGCGTAGGAGGCTCAATGACAGTCGGGCGTTGCCTAAAGGTGAGGGAAAGGGTGAGAGATTGCATGGCCGGGGGTGGGCGGCCCTGCAGGCTCTATGTAGCTTTCCGAGCATATCCTATACTCTTTAAGATTCACATGACGCCTAGACCCCGCAGAGGTTGTGTCACCATAGGGCTTCTAGGCCCGCAAAACACTCCCTCCAAACTCCTGCCTGGGACTCAGGCCAACTGAATAGTGTGGGAGGGGATGGACAGGAGGGCCTATGAGGCGGGCGGATGGGCTCTACCCCCTGCCTGGGGTAGAAACGGCCCCTGGAAGTTGGGACGCGGAGGTGGAGGGTGCACCTTTCCTCCAGATGACTTTTGACCTCTCCTCATTTCCCTCGTTTAGGCTGCGGGGAAAGGGTCTAGCCATGCTGCATGTGACCCGAGGGGTCTGGGGATCCAGTGTCCGATTATGGCCTCTGTTGCCCTCGTTCCTCGGTCACCCCCGGGCCCTGTCATCGCTGGCGGCCAAGATGGGGGAGTACCGCAAGATGTGGAACCCCACGGAGCCCCGCGACTGGGCCCAGCAATACCGCGAACGGTACATCCCGTTCTCCAAAGAGCAGCTGCTCCGCCTCCTGATACAGGTACCGCCCGTCCCGGGTCCAAGAGCCTGGGGACTACGAATCCCGGCAGGCCTCGCGGCGGTACAGCCCTTCAAGCTATAGAAGGATGCCGTGGCGCCCCCTGGGAATTGTAGTTCCTTTACCCTTTATAGGCCCAGGTGGGCGAGGAGTGAGTTGGAATGCTGGGGACTGACCACCGAGATGCAGATGAAGCAGCGATTCCAGACTCTAGCTCGTTTTGGGGGCTTGAACAAGCACTCACGTGGGGGGTTGGTTTTACCCGCTACAAAACCGGTATGATTTTCATCCTCGTCATTACAATGACTACTACCTAAAAATAATTATTGTACCAACGAAGTTATATTACACTGAACTCTTATTATATGGCACCGTGCTAAGCATTTTCCATGCATTATTGAATAGTGAACAACCCAGTAAGAGGTACCACCATCATTCCCACTTTAAACGGCGATAACTAAAGCAGGAGAAGGGCAGTGACTCACCCAAGGTCATGACTAGTGACTCAGATTTGAACCAAAGTGCACTGACTGTAGAGCAGGGTGGGGATCAGGGTGAGGCAAGTAGATACTTGCTCCATCCTAAGAGCTTAGGTTCTTACCCCACTCTCACCATCATACTTGTGATTATTCTTTATCATCATTCCTTCATTTAATAATTATTACTTGATGGCATCACCAACTCAATGGACACGAGTTTGGGTAAACTCCAGGAGCTGGTGATGGCCGGGGAGACCTGGCGTGCTTTGGTTCATAGGGTCGCAGAGTTGGACACAACTGAGTGACTGAACTGAGCTGAAATGCCTCTGTATGGCCTAAGTTCTGTGCTGGGCTTTATCCATATACAGAAGTATATGTACACCCACATAAACACACATGTAGGTATACGGACACATGTAATCACATCAAATTGTCACTATCGGTTTTTTCAGAAAGAGGGTGTGATCCTCTGTTGCCAATAAGGAAACAGACTCAGAGAGGGGATGGCACTCACCCAGGGCACTGAGGTAGGAAGGCTAAAATAGTGGCCAAATATGTGTGCTCTGGACCAGGCCTGGTCTAGAGTCTCAGCTTCTCTTTTATGGACAGTGTGGCCCTCAGCAAGTGACTTTCCTAAACTTAGGTGTCCCCTCTGAACAATGAGGATTATAATTCCATCAGCCTCCTTGCGTCCTCTGGAGGATGAGATCATGCCAGCAAACAGTGCCTGGCACACATATAAGCATTGTGTGACTGCTGCCAGTAAGTATCAGAGTGGTAACTTGAAACCCTAGCTCTTTAAGCCATCTTTTTTTCACTCTTCAGGGCTGCCTCAGTTTCTTTCAGTGAAATTGATCAGTCCTCTCCCCCTCTCCACCCCCTCCAAAAAAACCCACAAAATTTTAAAGAGCCCAGAGCTCTGTTGTCTGTCTGGGCTACTCAGGAAAGAATTCCCCACCAAGAGGAAGGAGAGAGAGACCTAAAGAGATGTTTTGCTTCCCGAGGTAACAGGAGTTCCATTCCACGCCTGCGGAGAAGGCGGCCTTGGAGGAGTTCACAGCCCACGTGGATTTTTGTACCTTGTTCCACTACCATCATGTCCTGACCCAGCTGCAGGTGAGAACGGGGACCCTGTGGCCCTGTTGTCCTTGTTTGCTTATCCATTCATTCATCAAAAATTCTCTGAGTGCCTACTTGGAGTCCAGCCCTCTTCTAAGCATCAGGGATGCAGCAGTGAATAGAACAGATGAGGCCACGCCCTTCTGGAGCTGATATTCCAGGTGGGAAGATGATAAATGAATAAATATAAGGGACTTGCCCGGTGCTCTGGTGGTTAATACTCTGAGCTTCCAGTGCAGGGGCTGTGGGTTCAATTTCTGGTCAAAGAACTAAGATCCCACATGCCATGTTGCTGTTGTTCAGTCACTTGGTTGTGTCTGACCCTTTGTGGCCCCATGGACTGCAGCACGCCAGGCTTCCCTGTCCATCACTGTTCCCCCGGAGTTTGCTCAGACTCATGTCCATTGAGTTGGTGATGCCATCCAACCTTCTCATCCTCTGTCACCTCCTTCTTCTCCTGCCCTCAGTCTTTACCAGAATCAGGGTCTTTTCCAATGAGTCTGCTCTTCACCATGTAGTGTGGCCAAATTGAAAACAAAAAATGTAAAATATGACACCCAGGAATGGTAAGTGCAACTGAAGTTGGGATAGAAAGCGACGAGAAAATGGCCTGATTTAGACAGGGTGGTCAAGGAAGGCTTCTCTGAGGAGGTGACAAATAAGCTAATACCTGAGTGAACTGAGGCAGTGAGCTCAACAGGTGTCTGGGGATGGACATTTCAGGTAGAAACGTCCTCTTTTTCAAGAAAAAACGTTGAGAAAATGTTCTCTTTTTCAAGAGAAAAGCAATTGCAAAGGCCCTGAGGTGTGAGGGCCTGGAGTGTTAGGGGAATGACAGTGGAACTACTGGCTGGAGGTGAAGAGGGCAGGAGGTGACAACAGAGAGGGAGTGAGGGGAAGTTGTGCCTGGCCTCGTGGGTTGTGCTGAAGACGTGGCTTTTATGTAAGCGAGCTGGGAGCTGCCGCAGGAGGGTTCAGCTCAGATGCAGGTCATGAACTGATTCGGGTGTTAATAGGATTCTTCTGGCTGCTCAGCAGGGAGCAGACCATCAGAGGCAGGGAGATATATTAAAGAATCTATTATGTTTGTCCAGGTAAGAGATAATGGCAGCTCAGACAAGAGTAATAGCAGTGGAAGTGGTGAAAAGTGGTCAGGCGCCTGTAATGGTTGGAAGGCATCAGCATTTGGCTGAGTGGGCGGGGCCTTGAGGGAGAGAGAGAAGTAGGGGGGGCAGGGCCTCCAGCAGTTCATGCCCGCACCTCCTGAAGGATCCGGCTGCCACTTACTGAGAATGAGATGCGGAAAGCAGAGCAGAGACAGGTCTGCAGGGAAGACTGAGAGCTCAGTTTAGACTTAGAAATTTGAGCTGCCTCTTAGACAGCTGGGCAGAGAGATGGACTCAGTGCCCATAGGCTGAAAGTCAAGGAAGGAGGCTGGGCTAAGAAACAGTCCTGGGAGGGTCTAGACAGTACAACCTGCATGACCACCAGGGGCATTAACTGAGTCCTGGGTAGTGAGTACTTAGAGATTCTCTCCCAGGAGCCCTACAAGGGCCAGGTCTCTGGAATGTGCAAGGTTTGGACAACTCAGGCCTGCTGATTTAACCCTTTACTGCCCCTGCCCCCCATAGCTCCCCTCCTTGCTTTGATGAGTAGCAGCTATGGCCCCTCTGCATCAAGCTCATCAACTTCCTGCAGCACTAAGTAGCTGCCAGCAGCCCCACTGGCAGAAGAAGAAACCAAAGCTCCAAGACGGCCCCATTGAGCCCAAGATGAGGCAGGTCCCAAGTGGCAGAGCCAAGATTTGTGCTCCTGTCTGCTGGCCTCCAAGCTCTTTTCTGGAGCATCTGTGGCTTCTGGAGACAGGGTTCTTTTTCATTAGAAAGTTATTTTAAAATGTTATTATACACACGTTTAACTATATTGAAACAAAGAATATGCAGCAAAGGCACATTCTCACTGAGGCAGCATATTTTATTTTATTATTATTTATTTGTTTGGTTGCATTGGGTCTTAACTGGCATGTGAGATCTTTCATTGAGTCACCCTAGTTTTGTCTCATGGGCTTAGTTGCTCTGTGGCATATAGGTTAGTTTCCGGACCAGGGATCAAACCCACATCTGCATTGCAAGGCAGATTCTTAACCACTGTACCACCAGGGAAGTCCCAAGGCAGCAGATTTTAAATGGAGACCCTGAGAGGGTGGGTAGAAGCATCAGAGGTGAGTGAGACACACTGGGTTACCATTTGCTGATGGCCTAAGACCCTTGAGGAAGCAGTCTGGAGCAGGCAGAGAACAAGAAGAGCCCCAGTTCAGACGCCAGCTTTGTCATTCACTAGGAGTGAGGGCGACCTTGGCAGGTGACCTCTCTCTGGGCCTCCTTTCCCTTATGCATTCATTCATTGGATTCACTCAATGTATGTTTACTGAGCACCTACCGTGTCCCGGAATGGTTCCAGGCCCCAGGACTCAGTGGTGAGCCTGTGCATCTGCCTCATGGCGTCACGTGCTAGTGAGACAGACTCACCCTCCTCAAGGTAAAGAAGTAAAATATGTTAAGATGTGCTAAGTACCACACATAGGGTGCCAGATAAAGTACAGGACACCCAGCTTATTCATTTCCTAATGCTGCCATAGCAAATGAGCATCCACTGGATGGCTTAAAACGAGAGATTTCTTCTTTGAGAGTTCAGGAGGCTGGAAGTCCAAAATCAAAGTGCTGGCGGGTTAGTTTCTTCTGGAGCCTTGGAGGAAGGGACCCATTCTATACTCTTTTCCAGGTTTCCAACAGTCTGTGGCATGTGGACACATCACTTTAATCTCTGTCTTCATCTTCACATCACTTTCTTCTCTGTGTGTCCTTTTCTGTCTCTTATAAGGACACTCGTTGGATTTAGGGCCCATCCTAATCCAGGATGGTCTCACTTTGATACCTTAATTATACCTGCAAAGACCCTTTTTCCAAATGAGGTCATATTCTGAGGTTCCCAGGGGACAGGAATTTTTAGGGGACACTCTTCAACCCTCTAAACCCAGTGAAATTTGAATTTCAGATAAGCTATGAAAATTTTTTCTTTTTTAAGTAGAATTATGTCCATGGAAATACAATCCTCAAATATTGCACAGGACATACTTAAACTGAAAAATTATTTATTGTTGATCTGGAAATGCAACTTAACTTGGTGTCCTGTATTTTATTTTATTTTTGGCTAAATCTGGTAACCCTAATTAAGGAGAAAAAGAAAGGAGAGGTGGTTTTTTTTGCAGTTTTAGGTGAGGTAGTCAGGGACGGCCTCACTGAGCGGGTGACATTTGAGCCTGAAAGAGGCCAGAGTGAGGCACGTGGAGATCTGTAGGAAAGGTGAGTGCAAAGGCCCGGTAGCTGAAGTGTGCGTGGTGTGTAGTAGGGGCTAGAGGTGAGTGAGTGAAGGGGCAGAGCTGGAGATAAGCCAGAGAGGGGCCCAGATCCTTCCGGGCCCACGGGACGCAGTGAGGACCTGGCTTTGACTCTTGAGTGAGGGGAGAGCCAGGGACCGGTTCTGCGCGAGCAGACGTGAGCTGACTTCTGTTACAAAAGGCGCCCTCTGGTGGCGTTGCCGGGAACAGACTGGGGTGAGGGTGGGAGCCGGGAGACTGACGCGGAAGCCACCAGGACTGCCCAGGAGATGAGAAGTGGTCGGATCCTGGATCTGTTTTGAATGGGTTCCATCAGGATTTGCTGATGGGTTGAAGAAAGAGAGGAGTCCGGGGTGACCAGAGGCTTTGGGCCTAAGCACCTGGAAGAATGCATTTCTCTGACATGGAGAAGATGGGGGCGAGGGGGAGCAGGTTTGGGGAGGAGTTTCAGGACCCCCTTTGGGACACCGCGGGCTTGAGAGTGGTCTTGAGAGGAGGGAGGCAAGGGGGTTTGGAGGGGCCCTTGAGGAGGCTGTCAGACTCATCCAGGAGAAGGCGATGGTGGTGTGGACTGGGCAGGGCTGGTGGGGAGGAGAGAGCCCAGGAGAGTGGCTCTCTGTTTTGGAGGTGGAATCATCGTGATTAATAAATCATGCGAGGAAAGGGAACAGCAGGGGTCACCCACCATATCCAGGTTTCTGGCTGGAAGCCCTGGGCGGATATGAAGTTCCCAGAAGAGAGTCTGGTTCGCAGCGGACGTTAGATGAATGCACTTCTCTCTCCTCCAGCTCTGAGATTCCCTCACTCTCAAAGTGCAGCTCAGCCCCGGGAAAGGCATTTCTCAAGGTCATTCCATGAATTTGAGACCATGGCCCATGGGACCTGCTCTGTCAGCCTGGCTGGAAGGACTTGGACACAGGCCTTAGCTTTGGGCCCCAGTCCTATTCTGGGCCAGCACGAGCCGGCCCTTGGAGTGAGTTCACATGAAGGTTTGCTGGGCTCGATTCTCTACTACATCATCAGACACTCGGCTCCATTGTCTCGGAGACGCTGGACTTTGCATCTCCAAACCTTTGCAGGCCATTCCTCCCACTTGGAATACTCCTGCACTGGTTCCCTTCCACTAACGAAGGTTCCCCTGACCTTGATGTGTTGCTCCTTAAGGCTGCCTCTCCTGAGAGACACACAGAGGGTGGGGTTTACGGACTGGTGTTATGGAGGGGTGCTTCCCTCTGTGGCTTGTTGGATAGTCTGGGACACATTATATGTCACCCTGAAACTTCATCTGTCTGTGAACAAATAGGCAAGCCACCTGGAAGCTCGCTCTTTAAAAAATTTTTTTTTTACATATTTATTTATTTGGCTGTGCTGGGTCTTAGTTGCATCATGCAGGATCTTCCATCTTTGTTGTAACACTCAGGGTCTTTAGTCATGACATGTGAACTCTTAGTTGTGGCATGTGGGATCTAGTTCCCCAACCAGGGATCAAACCTGGGCCCCCTGCATTGGGAGCACAGAGTCCTAACCACTGGACCACCAGGGAAGTCTCTAGCTCTTTTTTTTAATTCATTCATTCATTCAGTCAACAATTTTGGATGGCATTGATGGGTGCATAAGATGAGATGGACAGGGCATTTACCCAGTTCTATGGGGACACTGAAGGTCATAGAAAGAGTCTGGATTTTATTCCAAACGCTGTGAGAAGCCACTGGAGGGATAGGGTCTGTTTATAATCTCAATAATCTCCTCGTGACAGCCACATGGGGACTGGTTTGGACATGGTGGGAGAGTGGAAACCCGATGCACCTGTTTAGGTACTCGGCAATGGTGGCTAGGACGAGAAGGCAGGGGATGGAAAGGAAGGTAGAGTCCAGAACAATTCGGAGAGTCTGTTGAATTTGTAAAGGATCAGATGTGGGGGTGATGATAAGAAAGGAATCAAAGATGCCTCCAGGGTTCCTGATCAGAGCATCTGAATGGATCACAGTGCCATTTCTTGAAAGGAAAAGACGGAGGAGGGGAGGAGGAAGAAATGGCGCATTTTCCTTGGGTCATGTTAGATCTTAGACGCCATTAGACATCCAACTGGAGATGTCAAAGACATAACTGACTATGAGAATCTGATGCTCAGGGGAGAGGCCAGGGATGGTTGGGGGCAATAGCTTTGGGAGGGGGCATCCAGGATGGTTATTTTGTTGGAAGATGACGATGGGAGGATGTGATCTTGTGGGCTTGACATGTTGGATTTGAGGCAACTGTGACATCCCAAAGAAATGTCAGGTAAAGAGTTTATATTAGTTCCTATAAAGGCTTAGCTGTTGTAACAAGCAGACCCCACAAGGCAATGGCTTAAAGAAGGTGGAGGATTCTTCCTCTCCCATTTAACAGCCTTGTGGTAAGTGGGCCACGGTAGTGAGCAGCTCTGTTCCTCGTGAGATGATGCCAGGACCCAGGTTCCTTCCATGTTGTTGCTCTGCCATCCCCTGAGGGCTCCGTCTTCATCTCTGTGGGCTCAGAACTCGGTTGTAGGCAGGAGAGTGTTCTAAGCTGTTAAGAACAAGGAAAGAGTGGAAAGTGCAGGAGGGGCAAGAAGTGCGGGAGAAGGTGTATCTGTTACTTCTACTCACGTTCTGCAGATGAATTCTCCTGGCCACACCCAGGCCACACCCAGCCTCAAAGGAGGCTGGAAATGTAGTCTATCTGAGCAGTCCTACAACCACCTTCTTCTCTGTACTGTGGGGGAAGGCGAAGTGCTACTCTACTACTACTAAGCATCCCCACAAACCGAAAATGGATATTAGGTCTAGAACTTAGAGGAGAGGTCTGAGCTGGAGATGTGAGTTGGGTAGTTTTCTGCATGGAGGTGGTGTTTAAGGCTGTGGGGATGGTGAGGCAACTTGTTGTGAGCTTGAGGAGAGAGACGGAAAGAGGGTCCCAAATCCAGCCTTGGGGTAACCCATTATTTAAAATATGGGGCCAGGAACATCCTTACGTGTACCCCAAATCCCTCACACTCTGACCTAGTCCCTTTTTCTTCTCTCTGACTCTCCTCAGGCCTTGTATGACCCCATCAACCCCGACAGGGAGACTCTTGACCAGCCTTCACTTACAGATCCTCAGCGTCTGTCCAGCGAGAAGGAAGTGCTTCAGGCCCTGGAGCCCCTGCTGGCCCAGGCCAACTTCTCCCCACTCACAGAGGACACCCTGGCCTACGCTCTGGTGGTCCATCACCCTCAGGATGAGGTCCAGGTGCTTGTCTTCCAGAAAACAACCCAAACTCCCAGGAGACCTTGGGCGGGGGTGGAGCCTTTGGGAAGCAGAGGCTGCTGGGAGCTGTAGTCCTGAACACTAGCCCATGTGGCACCTTTGGTGAAATAGAAAAAGGTGCCTCTTCTCGGGTAACTTCACTGCCACCTGTTGGAAAAGCATCATAAGATACAGGTCTTCTTAGGACTAGAGACTCTATCACCATCTGCCTGAAAACTATTAAGAGAGCTATCCTTTGGTAATGTCCAGTGCCTTTGAGGATATGGAAATCCTCGATGCTGAAGTCTCTTCTATGGAATGGCATAGTATTTGCATATAACCTATGCATATTCTCTTGCATACTTTAAGTCATCTCTGATTATTTGTAATACCTAATACAATGTAAATGCTGTGTAAACGAGTTGGTGATACACAGCAGATTCCAGTTTTGCTTTCTGGAATTAATATTTTTTTCACTCCTATAGTTGGTTGAATCAACAGATGTGAAACCTGCAGTTATGGAGGACTGACTATAATAAATAATACAAAATACTCACCATTAAAGTCAACAAAATATGGGAATCCCTTGGCAGTGCAGTGGTGAGGGCCTCAGCGCTTTCACTGCTGGGGCCTGGGTTCGATCCCTGGTCAAGAAACTAAGATCCTATAAGCCGCATAGCACAGCCAAAAGAAAAAGTCAACAAAATACTAATAATCAAAATACTAAATACTGTAGTATTATAACCAAAATACTAAAACCACCACATTTTGGTGATTTTAAGATGTGCTTTTTTCAGAGACTTTACTGTCTCTGAAATTGGATTGTGATTTACAAGCAGTAGTGTGGCATAGTTTGAAAAGTGAAGGTGAAAGTCACTCAGTTGTGTCTGACTCTTTGTGACCCCATGGACTTATACAGTCCATGGAATTTTCCAGGCCACAATACTGGAGTGGGTAACCTTTCCCTTCTCCAGGGGATCTTTCCAACCCAGGGATCGAACCCATGTCTCCTGCATTACAGGTGGATTCTTTACCAGCTGAACCGCCAGGAAAGCCCAAGAATGCTGGAGTGGGTAGCCTATCCCTTCTCTAGCAGATCTTCCCAACCAGGAATCGAACCGGGGTCTCCTGCATCACAGGTGGATTCTTTACCAACTGAACTATCAGGGAAGCCCCTGTTGCATAGTTTAATTGACAATATATTTTTCCTTTTAGTTGCTTCATAAAATGATAGAGTACCTTAAAATCAGTGGCATTATAGATGCTAGGAAATATGGTCATCAAGATGACTATGATGTGGATGGTGTGTCCTTGTGCAGTGTACAACATGAACAACCATACATGGCTGTCTGCCTACATACTGGATGATGATGAGTCTGGGAAGTGGATAGGGAGGCAGAGGATCACTGGGGGTGAGGCATGTAATTCTAGTATCCTGCATTCACACAGTGCCTTACGCTCAGCTGCTTTTGCTTCCTTCTCCCTCCCTTTGGCAGGTGACAGTAAATTTGGACCAGTATATCTACATGCATTTCTGGGCCTTGGGCCAGCGAGTTGGGAAGATGCCCCGTAAGTCCAGCGTGGGCTCCAAGCGTGTCTTCTTCAAATCGCCCCCTGCAGAGAGGTGAGGCGGCCCCTGTTCCCCAGCTGCAACAAGAGGGAGCAAGGTTAGAGTCGAGAGGGGACCGACAGGTCAGTGTCTGGATTTGGGTGTCTGGGACCTGGGTGGGAAGTCAAGAAAGGAGAAGGGGTCAATGAAATACTGCCTCTTCTTCCCAAGGAGAAATAAGAGCTGCAATTCTTAGGGGAAGAGAAGGGGTAGGGACATTTATCTCCATTTTCTAAATGAGGAAAACTGAGACTCAGAGAGGGAAGGCCACACTCTGAAAAAGTGGTACCACCAGGTTTCTGAAGAACAGTATGTTTTCAGCACATAGTCAAATACAGATATTGTTGGGAGAGCCATATTGTCTCACAGTTGGCCAGGGGGCCTGTCAGTCACCCAATCCGTCTGGAAATCAGACTACCAAACATGGTTACGAATTCAAAGACAAAAACCAAAGACAAAAAGCCTCTCATATCCCTTAAACCAGTAATTCCACTTCCAGGAATCTATTCCAGGGAGATATTTATACTTGGAGACTGTCTGTTTAATTATCTTAATTATCTGTCTCTCGTGCTGGACTATAAGCTCCACAAAGGCAGTGACTGACTCATTTTGTTGTCTCTCCAGAGCTAAATAGCACTCCTTGGCACCTAGCAGATACCCTGAAATATATATAGAATTTTGGTTTGAACATTAACTAAAGAATTTTTATTCAGCTGTCATTTATCAAGTCCATAAAATCAGAAGCAACCTATGTGTCCAATAATAGGGGATTGCATCATGTTACTGATCCCCTCTTGTTGGCCACTTAGCTTACGTCTGACTTTCCTCCCACCATTTTTAAGTAGCTTTTAAAATGATGGTGTGACTTCAGAGCCAGAGAGAATGTCCTAGGGTTAGAGGGGGACTCCCTGGGGGCTGTTCTGACTGTCCTTGCCCCTCCATCTCTGGCCATCAGGAGATACTTTAAGCGGGTGATACTCGCAGCCCGAACGAAGAAGGGGCATTTAGTGCTGAAGAGCTTCAAGGATACGCCATTGGAGGGCCTGGAGCAGCTGCTGCCTGAGCTGAAGGTGCGCACGTCCACCCTGCAGCGTGCCATCCTCAACGTCACACTGATCGTCTCGGGTGTAGCGTTCTTTGTCAACGTGGGCATGGTGGTGCTCTCTGACCTCAAGATGGCCACCTCCCTGTTGCTGCTGTTCTTCGCTGCTTTCATGGGCCTGCGGGCCGCCAAGGTGAGTGACACCCCCCCCCCCCCCCCGCAAGCCTGCCCTTTAATGATCAGCTAGAAGTTCGGGCCACCCTATCCGTTTGTTTCTCTTTTTTTGTGGATTATTCCTGCTTTGGGTTGGGCTTTCTTTCCCTTCCTCATTCACTCAACACAACCTTGGGAGGGGTTCTCGATCTCCCTGAGCCTCGGTTTTCTCATCTGGAAAATGGGCTTAATAAATAGCGAGACCCTCCTAGGAGGGCTGTTGTGAGGAAGAGATGAGTGAATCTGTAATGAGCACTGGGTGTAGGGCTGGCACATGGGCAGTGAGACACAAGTGTTCACAGCCACTCACTGGGCACTTGGTGATATGGTGAAGGGTGTGTTTTAGAACAAGACTGCCTGGGTTTGAATCTAGTTCTACTGTCTTCTAGCTGTGTAACCTATTCTTTTCGCTTGTGTGTGTGTGTGTGTGTGTGTGTGTGAGAACCATGTCATGTGGCATGTGGGATCTCTGTTCTCCAAGCAGGGATCGAACCCATGCCCCCTGCAGTGGAAGTGTGGAGTATTAACCACTGGAGTGCCAGGGAAGTCCTAAGCTATGTAACCTTGAACAAGCTGCTTAAACCTCTCTGTGCATCTCAAAAGCAGAGATGACAGTGGGTTGTTGTGGTGATTAAATGCATTAATACGATGAACATGGAAAACAGAGCCTGGCCCGTAGTATAGAAGATGTTATATGAGAGTTCACCATTACCTTTATTATTATTATTACTGATTGGGCTCTTGTCCCCTGAGTCTGGGCTTCCACACCCCCAAACTCTGGGACCAGGGCCTGTGTTTTGAACAAGCTCCCTTCCTGATTCTGCTACATGTGAATGCAGGGCTGCCTCATCCAGTTGTGCAGGTTGTTCATCATCCAAGGATTCGTGGGTGAAGGGACAGATCGGGGCTGGAATCCAACTTGTGCTTTGCTTGCTGAACCTCGAGCTCTGCCTTGAGGCGGCTGCCTTTTACTGACTCTCCCTGGGGTTGGCACTGGCCCCAAGAGTGCGAACTGGAGCGAGTTATCCATTGTACCCAATCATTCACTTGCTGGTTCATTGATTTCCAAGCTGTTTCCAGCCATCCCAACGGGCTCTTAGGAAGCCTGGTAATAAATCCCACAGATAATAACCAGGCTGCGCTGGCTGAGCAGGGAGCGCTTCCTACCGAGGACCAGGGGTCGGGTGTCATTTGAAGGAAGCTCTGAAAGGCGGGGATTGAGCCTCGTAGAGAAGGGGCCATGTGAGCACAGCCTGGGGAATCCCACAGGGATGGCGTCTGGCGTGCAGGATGGAGAAGCAAGGCCCCAAAGGGGTGGCGAGGGCCTTGAATGCCAAGGCAGGGGCTCTGAGCTTCGTCCTCAGGGCAGAGGGGAGCCACGGAAGGGCTGTAAGCAGAGAGGGAATGTGGCAACCACAGATGAGGGCGGAGAGGCAGGGGGGAGAGGGTGTTGAGCTGGTCTGGGGGGGACATGCACATTTTCAGCCCAGGGAGGACCATTGTCCCACCTCTCAGTGGCCCTTGGGGGTGGAGGACTCTCGAGTCTCTTGGGCTTTGACACCCAGTTTAAAGCCCAGTTCAACCTGTTCATTTACTGATCCCTTTTAGACACTTTTCCATGCCCCAGGCTGAGCCTCCTTAGGTTCATTCTTTCTTTATTTGGCTTGTTGGATCTCTGTTCTCCAACCACAGACTGAACCCGGGCCATGGCACCAAAGGCGCCAAATCCTAATCTCTAGACTACCAGGGACTCCCTCCGTGCCTTAAATGCAGGCCTCCCTGGCCTCCATCCAGCTGCCCACAAGGCATCCATCTTCCCCTGAAACCCCCTTCTCCTCCCCAGCTCCTCATCTCGGGACAGCTGCTCTGATCAAACACCTGGGAGACTGATTTTGCAGCAGGGTACATGGCCCTCTTCCTCCCCCTCCCCCAGAGAGCTCATCCACTTCCACGTTTTCCACAAGCTGCTCCCCCCTACCTCCTAGATGCAGGAGCACAACACTCAAGTCTGGAGCAGCCAGGTGGAGGACAGCGTCTCTCCCACCTGCTCCTCCTCCTGGCTCTCCATCTGTGGATGGCCCCATTGTTCCCAAGTCACTGGCTAGACCCCTGGAAGTTACCCTGCCCCTGCCCCCCAACCTGTCAGTCCTCAGCCCGCCCTTCCTGCCCCCCGGTGCTCTGCTCCGCAGGCTCTCTGTGCCCATCTCCTCTCTGTCTCGGCTCCAGCTCAGACCCTCTTCCTAGCCTTCCCCCACCCAGTGATCCCCTCCAGCCCATCCCCGATGGCCCCTGGGCTGGCCCTGCTCCTCCCTTGCTCACAGCCTGGCATCAGAGACGCTGCTTCCTCGGCCTCATCTGACACAATTCTCAGCTTCAGCTCCACCAAAATATGCTTGTAGCTCCTCCCACCCCTACTTCTCTCCCCTTCTCTCCCTCTGCATATGCTGTTCCTCCTTCTGAAACATACTCTCCCCTGGAGGAGGGCACAGCGGCCTACTCCAGTATTCTTGCCTGGAGAATCCCCATGGACAAAGGAGCCTGGTGGGTACAGTCCATGGGGTTACAAAGAGTTGGACATAACTGAAGCGACTTAGCATGCACACATGCATCCTTTTGCTAGGCTGACCAACCCCTCCTCACCGTCATCTCAGAGGCTCCAGAAAACCCTCCCAGACTTCCTGGGCTGAGGGGGCTCCTAACTTGTCCTGGTTCCCCAGGGAGGCCTGCAGGGCAACCTGAGAAGGGTTGTTGAGCTGGCATCCCAAAGATGCCTCAGGGCTGGTCCTGCCCTCGGGGGAGAGGTGCGGGGCCCATGGACAGACAGCCACGTGCCTGACCAAGGTGGCAGTGGGTCCTGTAGGATCCCAGGGATGCAGCTGCTTGTCTGTGGAAAGTGATGTCTATCCTGAACCTTGATGATAAGACAGTCTTTTTTTTCAAGAAAAGACTGGAGACCACTTGGCCTGTCCCAAGGCCCAGAAGCCCAAGAGAGCAGGGTGTGCTCAGGGCAACCATCAGGGTAGACTGGGTTCATTCAACATGGGCTGCATTCACGAGAGGGAAGCAGGATATTGAGTGGGAGAAATCCCTGGGGCCAGGCCACAGAGTTTGGAGTCTCTGAGGACACTAGGGAGCCATGTGAGGGTGTGAGCAGGGGAGGGGCAGGGTCTGTTCTGGGGCTGTGCAGAGAGATGGGAGTAGGGGAGACTGAGGCCTGGGAGGAGGTTGGGTGATGCATTAGGTGGGTTGGAGGGGAGGGCACAGGGCAGAGAGAGTCAAGGCAGGAGGATGGGGCCAGAGAGTGACAGGCTGGCGAGAAGTGGGCAGGATGGTGCCAGGGGTCTGATCTGTGATGGGGTAGATAGTGGGGCCACCCCACATACAGACCCCAGGGAAGGAAGAAGGAGGGACTGAGGAGTTGGGTAAGGAGAGACACTGTGCTCAGCATGGGCCTTGGCGAGCGTTGGAGGGACATTCAGCTGGCCACTGGTGAGCTCTCTCCAGGGAGAGGTCTGGCCTCACATGTCTGCCTTGGAATGGCATGACCTGCTCACTTAACCTGCGAGAATTCCACTCCATAAGCCTGGCAGAAACAGGCACACAACCCAATGTATTTTTCATAACAGTTGCAAACGTACCCAATTCCTGCATGTTGCCTCCAACCAAAGAAATTGGCAATTCGTTCCAATGCAGGGACATAAACTGACTGTGCTGGCCTTGAAAGAAGAGAGTGCAGTTCACACAGAGCGTGTCATTGGGACCATGCAGGCCATTTCAGCAATTTTCCAGGGCTGTGTTCATTTCAGAGGCATTTCACCATAGGTCTCCACGTAGGGTCGGCAACACTCTTTGGGCAGAAGATACTTCAATAACTAATCTTTAAGTACTTGTGACTGGCCAGCTTCTGTGCCATGTTTTATTAACTTCTGGTGCACCTTCTGTCATTTGCCTTGGCTCACAGACAGGGCTACCCGAAGACTTAGGTCTTGGCCACAGTCTCACAGCTGGAGGGGCAGAGATAGGACTGGCATCCAGGCCTGCAGGCTGCAGGACCCAGCAGCCTTGAACTCAGTTGGTGGATGGAAGGACAAATCTGGGTGGATGAATCTGAGTGCAAGTCCCAGAGGGCACTGGTGGGCTCTCATCTCCCTCCTCGGGGACAAGAGGAATGAGGAAAGGGGTCCAGGCAGGAGGGATGCAGGGTAGGGAAGGAGGCTGCCAGTAGACAGCTGGGCCCCAGACCTGCCTCTCCTTCCCTTCTTTCCGGAAAGCGGCTCATCGAGTGTTTGTTGTCCATTAACACTTCTCTTTGGGCTTCCTTGTGGCTCAGCAGTAAAGAATCCTTCTGCCAATGCAGGGGACTTGGATTCAATCCCTGGGTTGGGAAAATCCCCTGGAGAAGGAAATGGCAACCCACTCTAGTATTCTTGCCTGGGAAATCCCACAGACAGAGAAGAGCCTGGGAGGCTACAGTCCATGGGGTCAAAGAGTCCGACAGGACTTAGCGACTAAACAACAACACTTCTCTTTACAATATTTAAGACCTTTAAAAAAAATTATTTCAAACAAATGCAGAGATGGAATAGCATGAGAAGCTCCCCTGTTGTCAGCACCCAGCGTCAACAATTAACAACAATCAGGTTTCACCCAAAGACACCCCCCGCCCACCACCATTGGATAATTTTGAAGCAAATTCTACACACATCATCTGGAAATACTTCAGTATGTGTCTAGATGATAAGGACTTAAAAAAAAAATTGTAACGAAAAGTGCCCAGGCTAAAACTCTTGTCTGTGAATCCTCGGATATATCCATTGTTACGTGGCTCAGATAAGCAAACCCGGGTAGCGGCCTCCGAGGCACGGGAGAGAGTGTGGCTTAAGCGTAAAAATACCTGAGCCAGAGAGGGCCGCGGAGGTCCCGGGAACCCTTGGGAAGGGTCCTACCTGCCTGAGTGACCTAGGGGTGTGCGTATGGGCGGGGTTGTATATGGGTGCGTGTGTGATTGGGTGGGATGTGTGTATGGACGGGGCGTGGAGTCCCAGCAGGCCCCGCCCCTCCCGGATTTTGTCCTGCATGCAGATGTTCGGACATCGGCGCAGCGCGCAAGCACTGGAGCTGGCGCACATGCTTTACTACCGCAGCACGTCCAACAACGCGGAGCTGCTCAGCGCCCTGGTCCTGCGCGCTCAGGATGAGCACACCAAAGAGGCCCTGCTCGCGCACAGCTTCCTGGCCCGGCGGCCCGGGGGGGCAAAGCGCCCGCCGGAAGGTAGGCCCGCAGGGGCCAAGAGGCCCCACCCCTTTGCAGCCCCTCACTTGCTAGGTCCCGCCCCGTCTCTTGCGGCCTTTTTACCCATAGGCCCGCCCCTTCCTAACTGCTGGGCGCAGACGTGGCCCCACCTGGAACAAACCACCCCGCCACTATGGAGTCGAGAGTCCCTTTAGTCCCAGATGGCCTTGCCCCAGTGAGACTTCATCCCCACGATGCCCGCCTCCCAAACCCGGCTCGCGCTGGTGAACCGGATTCAACAGTTGGGACCCCTGACCCTGTTCCCATCTCGATGGGCCTGCCCCTTCCCTGGGATGACCTCTCAACCTCAACCGTGATAGGAGTCTTGGATCGGACTCCTGTTGTGGTATGCTCCCCACTCACCGTCCGCTGCTTCCTATATGCCAACCCAAATACTCCCTTACTAGAGAGCCCAGATGGCTCCTCCGTGAACAAGAGTCCCTGGCTGGTCCCCAGATGAGAGCCCCAACGTTGAGCCTCCGAGGTTCTGTCCCACTCCGCTAGGCTTCTTCCAAACCCAGACCCCTCTTACTCCTCGTCCCGTACCCTCCCCGCTGCCCACTCTTAGTCCTTCGGGTCTGTCTGACCTCACAACACCTGCCTCTCCCCCAGCAGAGACCTCCCAGTGGCTCCAGTCGGAGGTGGAGAACTGGCTTCTAGCCCAGTCAGGCTGTGACGTGGCCTTCAACGGAAAGAGGGCCCTGGCCCACCTGCAAGCCCTGCCCCCCACCGTCGGGATGTACCCGCCCCCGGGCCTCCCCAAACTAGACCTGTTGGCTACTATCTCTTCCCCCAAGTCCGCACCGAGCGATGACAACTCCTTAGAGAAACCTCTCGGCCCGGCCCAACCCAGCCACCTGGTTGGGAACTAAGCGCCGCCTCCTTGACAAGCTGTCAATCATGGCTAAGATGCTTCGCCCCTCCCCAACTTCCAATTACTCGTTACCACTTCCGTTATGCTGTTTTCTTAAACAAAGCCGCCCACTGAGGCAGCCCGCCGTTGCCAGGCGCCCCTCTTCCGATGAACAGCCAATCAAAGCTTTTTGGCTTTGCTTCTGGTCCATCTCTTACTCCCTCCTTCAACATACACTTCTTTTTTTTTTTTCAACATAAACTTCTAAACGTAGTTTGGCTGAGGAGGGAGGGCCAGCCAATCACAGCCGTGCAACACTACACACCAACAGGCCCAGTTGTTAAACTGTGCCCTCCGGAGGCCATATATCACTGTCTGTTTAGCCCGTACCGGGCAAAATGCCCATCATGTTCACCGAGGCGGAGCTCCAGCCTGCAGCCAATGAGAGCCTTTTAGTCCGGTCCTCTGGCAAACTGCCAGTGAGACAGCTGCCGGGCAGTACCAACCTTGGGCAGCCAGTTGTCCCTGTGGAGAAGCAACCAATCAGAATTTCTGAAGGAGACCTGCTGTTTGTATCAATTGCGCTACTTATAAGGCAGGCCATTTGGTCAACTGCCAATCAGCTTGTCCAGGCTGAAGGGGTCGGGAGCTTTGTGCCCAGCGGAAAGCTGTGGACCAGGAGGAACCAGAAACCAAGGCTCACATCCACTCAGGCCCCAACAACAAAACTCAGGTGCCTTCGCTGCCCAGGCCCCTCACCCTTTCTACAGAAACTACCTCGGCCTGGATCTTGCCTCCACCAGTGCCCTGTGCAATATTTATTGGTCTATCAATTTCTCCCCTATCCCTTCTCCCAAAGGAATAAATCATGTTTCATAAATCTGGATGAGTCGGGGAGCTGCAGGGGTTGGAAAGAAGGAAGGTTTTGGAATCCTGGAAAGAAGAGACTCTGGGTCTTGGGGGAATGCATTTGGGTGGGTCCCCCGCTTCCCTAGGGCTTCCTTTGTAACTTCAGTTGGTAAAGAATCCGCCTGCAGTGAGGAAGACCTGGGTTCGGTCCCTGGGTTGGGAAGATCCCCTGGAGAAGGAAAGGCTACTCATGCCGGTATTCTGGCCTGGAGGATTCCATGGACTGTACAGTCCATGGGGTCGCAGAGTCAGACACGCCTGAGAGACTTTCACTTTTCCAGCTTCCCTCGTGACTCAGGCCATAAAGAATCTGCCTGCAATGCAGGAGGCCTGGGTTTGATCCCTGGGGCAGGAAGATCTGGAGAAGGGAATGGCTGCCCACTCCAGTATTCTTGCCTGGAGAGTTCCATGGACAGAGGAGCCTGGCGGGTTCCTGTCCATGGGGTCACAAAGAATCCTAACATACACGACTGAGCTACTAACACACACTTGCAAAGAAAGCTGTAGTTCTGGAGAGAGACTGTGCTTGTAATTGCTGAAATAGGCTGCATCACAGAAGAGGATCTTAGGAAGGACCTGACTGCCCAAAACACTGGGTCTTCTGAACACCTGAGACAGAGCAGATTGTTCGCTGCACAAAGACACACGGCCTGGGGATGGGTCGGTCTAAAACCCAGCCTCCTCTTCTCACAAGGGTCCCCATGTGAGGCCGAGCCTGGAGAAGGGGAGGGGGAGACATCTCATCTCGTTTTTACTGAGGTGTCATGTGGACTAGAGGCAACATTTGCAGAGGATGGGGGAAGAAGAGGGGCTGGGTTTCAAGAGGGAAATGGAAAAGTATCTTCCCAGAGGAAGTGTCAGAGGGAGGATAAAAAAGACCACTGTTACCAATGAGGGTTCTTGGCCTTCTTAATCAATTGAAATTAATAAGAGGCCAGACAAGGAGTTCAGGCAAGGCTTTATTGGGGCTTCTGCTATAGAAAGGAAAAACTGAGGGAGAGAGAACAACTTCTCTTACGGAGGGGCGAGCTGGTCCCTTCTATGGGGTGAGGGTAAGGGTGTGTCCAGGGGTGGGGTGGAGGGGCGGCTTAGGTGGTTTGCCCACCCCCTTGGTGGTGTATGTGTGTAGTGCCTTGCTTTTGCTCCTGGCTCTTCAGAAGTGGCAGCTGGGCTTTTTGGTCTGTTTGTATCTTATTGTCCAGAATTTGCCCCAGATGCGCATGCACACAGTTATTTTTAGCCCCTCATAGTTTCTTTACATTTTGTAACTGGAGGAGACTAATTGGCCAGGTGCAGGCATTGACTGCACTGCAGCACAGGGTCTCAGGTCTCAGTAACCTAGAACAAGACACACATCCTGCTTGGTTGAGAGAGAGAGACCCTTGGCCAAGGAGGGACGGCTGGAAACCCAGACGCCTGGTTCTTACCTAGAAGCACCTGAATATCTAGGCTGGGAGGAATCCTGAGTCTTGCACCAGGAGGACTGGGGTCCTGAGGTCTGTGGAAGGGGAAGGGCCGCTAGGACCGTGGGCTCCTGTGTCCCAGATTAGAAAGGGATGAGTTCGACGTTCTGAAGGCTGAACTGCTGGTGATGGGGGCTGTCCCAATTCAGGAACGATCAGGCGTTGAGCAGCCAGGGTCCCGGGAGGAGGAAGGAAGGAAGGAGCCAAAGGCAGACCCGGAGGTTAAACAGTTTTATTTTCTGTTTAAAATAGAAAAGGAGGCGGGGTGAGAGCTTGGGGGTGAGATGGAGGGGCCGGGAGTCGGCTGGGGAGCCAAGGGGAGGCGCAGCCCTCACTCCCTCTTCCGCAAGTGGATGTAGATGATGCCGCTGGCCAGCGCGAGGGGGAAGGCCACCCAGGCCAGGGCGAAGCAGTAACCAAAGCTGCCCCCCGACGGGCGCTCCGCCAGGATCTCTTCGGCGTGAATGGCGTAGATCAGCGCCCCGGTAAAGACCGCCACGCCTGCGGGGAGATGGGAACCACATGGCACGCTGGACCCACATAACGGGACTGCATTTCCCAACCACCCACGGTGCAAAGTAACCGCCTGAGGGCGAGTGCGCAGCACCACTGCCTACTGGGAGTTGTAGTTCACTCCTCTAGCGCCGCGCCTTGGGGGCTGCTGCAAACTGGACATGGACAGTTTAGTTAAGTTTAACTAAATTGGGTCTCCGTTACTCATCCATTACATGGGACGATAATACCTACTCATCCATTCAAGGAATATTTCTGAGTGGCTTTACACAGCCAAGCACACAGGTAGTAAATTAATAGAACAAGAGGTAACCTAGAAACGTAACGCTCCCCCAAAACTGATAACTATGGTTAACTTTGCTCTTTGCACCTGAAGAAAAAAAAAAAAAGTACATAGAAATCCCTGAAGTGTCTGATACAAGGTCAGTCCACAAGAAATAGCAACTGGTTGACATTATAAGACCACTACTATTATGATTTAGAGTTCTCTCCTGGTGTTATTCAGAGGAGGCAATGGCGCCCCACTCCAGTACTCTTGCCTGGAAAATCCCATGGACGGAGGAGCCTGGTGGGCTGCAGTCCATGGGGTCGCTAAGAGTCAGACAGGACTGAGCGACTTCACTTTCACCTTTCACCTTCATGCATTAGAGAAGGAAACGGCAACCCACTCCAGTGTTCTTGCCTGGAGAATCCCAGGGATGGGGGAGCCTGGTGGGCTGCCGTCTATGGGGTCACACAGGGTTGGACACGACTGAAGCGACTTAGCAGCAGCAGCAGCAGCCTGGTGTTATTAATTAGCTACCTATCCCTGCTAGCCCCCCTCCGTCCCTGGGATCTAGATTATTCGTCCACAACCCCTTCCCCAGCCCTGGCTCCTTGAAGCTCTAAGTGCCAGTTGCCCCATGACTCAGAGACCCACACCACAAACCACCACTGAGACACTGAAAACTACAAGTTCCTTAAGTCCCTGGGGCAGAGAGGTAGCCAAAGGCAAAACCTCAGATGGTCTTTGTGTTGTTGAGAATTGCTTTCTTTCATTAGGTGTCCATTCTTCCCCCGCCCTCCCCCTATCCTCACAGGCCTCCTCCCTTCCTTTCAGTTCCCTGGGGAACCGTGCTCACTGGTGCAAAGCTGGCAGAGGCCAGTGGCATAGAATAGCCCTCCTCGCCGCATGGTGTAGAGCTGGAACATGAACAGGATGAAGGACAGACAGCAGAGGATGAGGGAAAGCACCATGAGGACTTGTACTGCCTTCAGCCAGCCTGCAATAAGGAGATAGAGGTGGAAGTTACAGCAGGTCCAGAGTTCCAGCTCCACCGGCTTGCTCATCATTGCTCCCACCAACTGTTCTTCCATTTAGAGTCATTCAACCTCAGGAACTCAGTAGTTATCACTTATATCAAATTTGACCCCTGTAACTTTCCTAAATTCCCTTAGGAATTCTAGAAGCCGTTTGCAGATTCTTTAGGATTTTCTATATAAACATGCTCGCTGGGAATCGAGACAGTTTTGGTTCTTTGAAGTTTTCCCATCTTTATGCCTTTTATTTCTTTTTCTTGTCTTGTTGCATTGGCTACCTCCAGTATGACGGTGTATAGAATTGTGAGAGCAGAAATTCTTCCTTTGCTCTTAGGGGAAAAGCATTTAATCTTTCACCGTTTTTGACTTAGAAATTTCAGCGGATGCCACTCTGCCCCTTTAGAACTCATCTTCTTCTGGCCCTGCTTCTTTTGAACCTTGTAAGGATTCAGTCTCACCTCTTTAGAATCTCAATGTGGTCCACCCCATTGGAACTCGGACAGCGTGGTCCCAGCCATCCATTCAGAACGCCTGTCCTGCCTCTTTAGGACTTACGGAACATAATCCTGTCTTCTCAGAATCTTGGGAGCTTTCCCCCCATTCCATAAACCTATAGCATGTGGCCTCCACTCCTAAATCATAGGGAGCAGGGTTTTTAACCTCAGCAGGTAAATAATCTGCCTGCAGTGCAGGAGACCTGGGTTCAATCCCTGGGTTGGGAGGATCCCCTGGAGAAGGGAAAGGCTACCCACTCCAGTATAATGGCCTGGAGAATTCCACGGACTATATAGTCCATGGGGTCGCAAAGAGTCTGACACGACTGAGCGACTTTCACTTCACTCTAGAACACGAGCATACTTCCCCCTACCATCCAGACAGGTGGGTCATCATACGTCAGCCTCAGTCACTCAGCATGGGGACCCATAACCCGCCCACTCAAACCTTGGGGGGTTCCCAATCCTCGGTCCCGGGAGGAGACTTGGGGTTACCCCTCCCTTCTGCAGACCCATCTCCAGTGCCCCTCATGCCTCACCATTCTCGCTGACATTACTGCAGGCCCACGTTTTGTTGTCACTGTTCCACGTGCAGTCATACCAGAGATTCAGGGACTCCTTGCCGGGGAGGGTCCACCAGGACTGGGATGGGCAGAGGAACAAGGGCAAAGTCAGGGAGACTAGGCAGGGTTGGGAAAAGGGCAAGGTGCCATGGGAAAGCGTGGATTTAATAGGAACATGTGGGGCGGGGGTTCGTCAGGGGAAAGGATAGGGTGAAGGCAGAGTTCACAGGGGAGTGCTAGGGTGAGGGGGCGGGGCCAGAGCGACAGGAGGCCCCCATCCTCCGAGTTGGCTTACCTTGTCCAAAGTGGCCACGAAAAGCAGGATGAGAATGAGGATGTGAAGGGCAGAGACCACCAGCAGGAGGAGTGACATGGCTGTGTTGGGAGCCTGGAGCGGGACCTCAGGAGACGACAGCCACTTCAGAGGCTGTTGGCACAGGGGCAGGTGAGATGCCTGAATTCTGGTAGGGAAAGGGCCTGAGTCCAGACTCCCAGGTCTAATGGAAAAGGGGGCTAGGAGCCCCAAACTTCTGGTCTGAGGGAGGAGGAGGCTGGGGGCTAGATGCCTGGTTGTGAAGGAGGAGGGAGCTGGGGGCCTGGACTGGTGAATTTCCCAGGGCCTGGAGGGGGCCAGTGATAGACTTGAGTCCAGGAATGAGTAGGACTAGCAATCTGGCTCCCATCTCCGCAGAGCCCTGTCCCTGGGGACATATGGGCAAGGATGTGAAAAATTCCTATCCCTGCCTGTTCAGATAGATCAGAAGCTGGGGGCTGCCCCCAGAGATGGACAATCTTGACTCATCCCACTCCTCTCTTGGGGTGGAGGGAGGAAGGGGGACCCAGTGAGTCATCCGGTCGGTGACTCATTTCACCCCCCCACATGCCTCCAAGCACCAGGGAAACCCCAGCCCCTGTCTATGCCCATGAGGTCCCCACCCCACCCTGCCCTGCCTCCAGACTAGTGTCTACTGGACACCTTGTAGGGAAAATGGACAAGATCCATGTTGGGGGTGGGAGAGGGCCTGAGAAGAAGGAGCCAGTCCTCATGACCCTTCAGTGTCCAGAAAGGGCGGCGGGGGGGGGGGGGGGGGGGGGGGGGGGGGGGGGGGGGGGGGGCGTGGTGGTGGCGGGTGGTGGCTGGAGTGTCTCCAGATTTCGGTTGTTCTCACCAGAGGCCCTGACCTCAGGGTCTTCCTGGGGGAGTGGACAGCCATAGAGTAAAACCGCAGGAAGTTTTTGGGTGGGGGGCGCTCTGCTGGGAACCCTAAAATCCCTCGGGCCCCACCCCTTTCCAAGTCTCCACCCCAAGTGCCAAGATTTCACTTCTTAAATTACAAGGATTTCCAAGCTTCTCCCAAGCTGGTGGGGGTGGGTGGCGTGGGGGTCTCCTTTCCAAATGCTGCACACCCAAGTAAAGAAAGAAATCGCAGGCTGAATAACGGATTGAAAACTTACCGAGAGCGGCAGAAGTCAGAGTTGAGTCCTGAGTCCGGTCCCTCGATCGGGCCTCTGTGCCCCGCCCTTCTCTTCCCTCCTTCCACCCTCTCGAGGCCCCCGCCTCTCACCGCCTTTCTCCCTCCCTCCCTCTCTCTGGCTCTCTCTCTTTCTCCCCTCCAATTCCGGAACCCTCTCTCTCCCTCTCTCTCTTTTTCTCGCCTTCTGCCTCTTGTCTCTCTCTCCTGTCCTCACCGTCTGTGCCTCGATCCTCCTCTCTCCTCACTCTCCTGGTTTCTTTTTCTCTGGTCCTCTCAATATATACTGACCCTTTTATACCCACCCTCACCGCGCCCAGCTGAGGTCGGCAGCCAGAGGGAGGGACCAGGCACCCGCGTTCCTCTGTTCCTCCTTTTCTGGGCCCCCACCCACTGCCCCGACAGGCATCTTCTGGGGCTCCCCCTCCTGCGGTGGAGATGACACGTCCTTGGAGGGAAGGAAACAGCTGGGGCCCTCAGGTGGGGCAAGCATCACGGGCGGGAGGATCAGATTCTCAGGCCTCTGCTCCGGGACTTGTCCCAGGAACAGACATCTGCTTTCCCTGATGGGGCTTAGGACTGGATCCTCAGAGGGATGGGTGTCTGGGTGGGAAGACCAGATTCCTGCAGCGGGGAGTGGGCTGAGGACTTGTGGGGTTGGCACCCTGGTGGGAATCGGGATGGGAAATGGGGAAGTGTGGAACTCCGGAAGGGGGCAGGAGGTGGAAGTTAAGCACCCACGGTTACTGTTTCCTGCCTGGGGGACCCTGACCAATTATTTCAACTCTCTGAACCTCAGTTTCCTAATGGAGAGGTGGGTACAATACTACTTATACTACTGACAATATACTAATAGCAATAACAATTCTGATACTTATTCTAGACAAGGTAATACCAGTACACTAACACACCAAACACATTTTTTCTTTTCCTCATCAAACACTTATTGAACATCTATTATGAACCAGGAGTTAATAATGAAGAAAACAGATGTGAGCCCTGCTGTTCTTACGGAGCTTACCTTCTAGTTGAGCGAGAGAGAGAATAACCCATCAGCACAGAAGTAGTAGTGGTAGGGCTTTGAAGGAAATGAAATACAGTGACACTGCTAATGATGGGAGGCAGCTTTAAAAGGGTGATCCGGCAAGGTTTCTCTGAGAAACCTCATTCTGAGATGAGACTTGAAGACAGGAGTCATTTGAATGCTGGAGGGAGAGGAAGTACACAGCATTTGAGAACAAGCTCAAGTTGTCTGGGGAGCAGACAGAAGGACCAGTGTGGCCAGAATATAGGGAACTAGAGGGAGTGGTAGGAAGGGAATTCAAAGAGAGCCCTTGAAGCCTAGAGGAGGAGTTTGGATTTTATTCTAAGGGTAGTGGGGAACCACTGGAGGGTTTTAAACAGAAGTGCAGTACCAGGGACTTAATGTTATTAATAACTATTACTGTTATCATTATTATTTACTATCTTAGATATAATAAGTGTGGGGAGTGATCACCACTATGTACCTGGGTCTCTATGGAGGGTTGGGTGCTTGGTGAAAAGCAAGGGACAGGGAGCCAGGTGTCTGGGGTCCTGATGTGGAATTAAGAGCTGGAGGACTGAAATCCTGGTTCCCACAAGGGAAAGGAACTGGATGATGGGATGTCTGGGTATCTGAGGGAGCCACAGCGAGAGGGAGGGAGAGTGGTTGGTTATCTGGGCTCCCTGAGGGGGTGAGGGAGGGGCAGTTCAGTGACTGGGTGGGTACTCCTAACCCTAACCTGGAAGCTGTTACTGACACAGGCTTTATTCATTATCTGTGATTTGGGGCAGGTTATTAATCTCCCTATGCCTCAGTTTCTTCATCGGTAAAATAGGAATAATAGTAGTAAATACCTCAAGGAGCAGTGCTTAGAGGACTGCCTGGCATAGAGAAAGCACTGTTGTACGTGCACGTTATACCAGACACTGGGACACGGGAGATGAGGTGTCTGGGATTTGGAGAAGGGACAAATGCTTGGGTCTATTGGATCCCAAGGCTAAAAAGTTGGGAGTACAAAATGAAGGTCACTGGGGGTGGGTAAAGTAGTTACATCTTTCAGAAGGACAGAGACTGGAGGTCTGAGCTCAGTTCTCCAAGTAAGTTAGAAAGCCTGGGTCACTGGGGGAAAAATGAGGGACTGGAGATCGTTCTGTTCTTCAAGGAGGCAAAGGGCCTGGACCTGAGTCCTGGGAGGAGTCTGGGAACCAGGGGCTATAGAGATGGAATTTGAGCGGGGGAGGTGGAGAACAGGAAGCTAGGACTCTGAATCAAACCCCCAGAGTGGAATTAGCGCCAGGTTGGGGTACCCTGGAGATGTTTCGTGCAGGGGGTCCCCCATGCTAGGGCCCTACAGAAGGGGGAGAATTAGGGTACCCGAGGGCGGTGGTGGAATCTTCTCCTGGGCCTCCAAAGCCACGAGCTGAGCGCCCGCGGGCTGCTTCCTCCCACAGGAAACCGCAGGCGTTGGGCACACCCAGCCTGCAAGGAGCGGCGCCCACAGACAGCAGGCTCTGTGAGGGCCCACGTGGGCAGCAGGCGGCAGTCAAAGGGGGGGGGGCGGGGGGCGTGCACTGCGGAGCTCGGGGGCGTGCCCGGAAAGCAGGGGCGGCACGGAGCGCCCTAGGCCCCGCCCACTTCCGCCTCTAAGAGCGCCGACAGCTCTGGCAGCTGAGGGTTTTGGCAGTCTCTCCCGAGGCCGTTGGTCGCGCATGCGTAGTGAGTGGCTTCGAGGCCCTGAGGCGGTGGTAAGCGCTCCTCTCTCTCACAACTCCCGGCATCGGCACCGCCTGCCTGCTAATGAAGCCTCAAAATAACGTGGTCTTAATCAGCTTCATCTTAATCGGAGAAGGCAATGGCATCCCACTCCAGTACTCTTGCCTGGAAAATCCCATGGATGGAGGAGTCTGGTAGGCTGCAGTCCATGGGGTCGCTAAGAGTCAGACACGACTGGGCGACCTCACTTTCACATTTCACTTTAAAGCATTGAAGAAGGAAATGGCAACCCACTCCAGTGTTCTTGCCTGGAGAATCCCAGGGACGGGGGAGCCTGGTGGGCTGCCGGCTATGCGATCGCACAGAGTCGGAAACGACTGAAGCGACTTAGCAGTAGCAGCAATCAGCTTAAGACACGCGTCTCTCGCGCTCCATCCCAAAGGACTTCGGCCCAGTTCCAAAGTCTTCCAGACGTTTCCCTCCCAGCCCTGCCTCCACAGGCTTTTTCAGCTACTGCCTCTCCCTCCTGGAAACACACAGCCTACCCCTCACAAGCCCGTGCTCCCCACACAGATCATCTCGACGGTTAGCCTCAGCACCCCCTACAAGTCTTGGGAACCTGCGTCCTTCCAGCGCCCTCCCGCCAGGTCTCTCACGTGTTCTTCCAGCCACGCCCCTCGCCACCCCCCGAAGCCCCACCCCTCAGGGCCCGCAGCCCCGCCCTTTACAGGTATTCTTGTCCCTCTCCTCTCAAAGCTCCGAAGTCCTGCTCTGGATGGTTATCTGTGTCCCTGCCTTCGTAAGGTCCTGCAGCCCCAGCCCTCTCCAGCCCTTCCAGCTCTGCCCTTCCCTCGCTAGTCCCGAAGCGCCGCGCCTCAGGCTCACGCAGTCCCCTCTCCTCACAGGCCCTTTCAGCCCCGCCCATCCTAATCCTCCACAGCCCCGCCCCTCGCCCGCCCTACAGTCCCGCCCTTTCACAAGGCTTACGGTTCAGCCTTCACAGGCCCTCCCAGCCCCGCCCCTCGCAGGACTCCCGAAGCACCGCCCCTCGGAGTGCTCCCCTAACTCATCTGTTCTTAGCACCTGATCTCCCTCAAGGCCTCGTTGTGGCTTTCTCGGCTCCTCCTCTCCAGCCTCCCCTCCCACGGCTTTCTTCGGTGGCCTTGGTCCCTCCCCGGCTGCTGTCCTCAGACCTTCATTGGCCCCTTATCTCCCCAGTAACCAGACCACAACAGTGAGCTTGGAGTACCCAGGACAGGTCAGGCACTCCAGCAGGTAGGGACCGGGCCTCGCTCTCCTTAGCCGACCGGGATGGGGGTTACCCCTGCCTCTGTGATGCCTCCTCCCCAAACAGCCCCACCTCGGAGATACCGAGGGTCTAGAGGACCCCGTGCCAGAGTCAGAACCGCGACGCAAGACAGAATGTGAGAGGTGGGAGGTTGGGAGGGGTGTGGGAAGAGATCTGACAGGTGTCCTGCTCTGACTCATTGGAGAAATTGAGACTCAAAGAGAGGCCAGTTCTGGGGTCACCCTCTTCCAGTACCTAATCCCTCGCTGTTCATCGCCCACCCTCCTAGCCCTCTCCTCGCCGTCTGAAGGGGTCCTGTGTCGCCCCTGCAGGAGCCTCACCGTCTTTGGCCAAGATGCCTTTTGGACTCTCGGCTGGGAGCACTCGTTCCGAGGATGGAAGTGAGGCCTTCCTGGAGGGAATGGGTAATTCCTGCATTCTTTATTTCATCCATTCTTTTCCTCGGTTTTCCCATGTTTCATATTCTGTGCAGCGGGGCCCCGGGGACCGGGAGGGTTTTCAGGAGCGCTCTCTAGTGGCTAAATACACTTCCTCCAGAATGGAGGTGGAGCCGGGCGGGGGAGTGGGATGGCCAGGAAGACTTCCTGCAGGAGAAGTTTGAGTGAGGTCCAGAACTTCTCCCAGGAATTACCAACAGGAGATGGAAAGGAAAAGTGTTTCCGCAGAGAGAGCAGGATGTGACTAGAGCAAGGTTTCTTTACCTCCACATCGTTGACCCTTGGGATCAGATGTCAGATCATTCTTGGATATTAGGGGGAGGGTTCTGTGCGCTGGAGGATGCTCAGTGCTCCCCTGGCTTCTACCCACTGCATGCCGGTAGTACCCTCCCGACCCTCCCCTACCCTGTAGCAATCAAAGGTGTCTCCAGACACGGCCAAATGTCCTCAAGGGGGCAGATTTGATCCTGGTTGAGAACCTGTGGGCCGTGGGGGATGGGGAGCTAGTGGATGGGACCAGAGAGGTGGGTAGGGTCGGGTTTGTGGGGCCTGGAACCCCAGGCTGTGGAGCTGCAGCTTTGGATGTGCTTGGGCACAGGGAGGTCTGTGACCGCTCTAGGCATGGAAAGACCGTCTGGAGCTGTGAAGGGAGGCCAGGAGGTTGGGGAGGAGGCTGGGGTGATGGGGTGATGGTCCAGGCAGGGGGGGATTAGGCCTGAGCCAAGGGGATGGACTGAGAGTGAGGAGGCAGGAGGGTGGGGCTGAGGAAGGGTGGTGATGGGGTTGAACAGGAGGGATGTAACAAGAAAAGTGTCCCCACCCCCCACCCCGGGGAGGGGGGCGGGACTTGGCACAGGTCCTCAGCTTTCCCAAGTTCTAGGTCCTGTGCTTCTGGTCCCTGAGGACTGTGAGGCTTCCCTGGAGTGCCCTCTAGTGGGAAACAGAGGCATGCATGCCCAAATCCTGGATAGAAGTGGGTTTAGGGGGAAAATGGGAGATCAGCTTAGGGTGCAGGCAGTATGCAGGGATGAGGAAGCTTGAGAGATACAGGAACTGAGACGCAGCCCTAGAGTGGTGCGGGGGACTGGGTTCTGCAGTTCAGCTGCAGTTGATGAGCCCCTAAGGGAGCCAGAATTCCTAGGGTTTGGAGAGGGAGGGGCTGGGACCTGGATTCCTACTGAATCCCTTGCCTGGTCCCACGCTTCAGTAGACTGGGAGCTGAGCCGACTGCAGCGACAATGCAAAGTGATGGAAGACGAAAGGCGAGCCTACAGCAAAGAAGTCCATCAGCGCATCAACAAGCAGCTGTGAGCCTGGGTCCCTGGAGCCGTGGAGGGGGCTGTTAAGGAGGTGGGGGTTTGCATTCCTGGGTCTGAGAGGGGAGGGCAGGCTCAGCATGTCTGGACTTCAGTGATGCCGAACTCTGCCCCTTTCTGGCTCCCCCTCCCTCTCCCTGCCTGGGCAGTGAGGAGATCCAGCGCCTGGAGGGGGTGCGACACAAGCTGCGGGTGCAGATCAGCATTGCCCAGAGCCAGGTCAGGCGGCTGCGGGACAGCGAGAGGCTGGAGAACATGGGTCACCTGCTCAAGTGCCAGGTCCGGGTGCAGGCCGAGGTCAAGGAGCTGCAGGCACAGAACCAAGCCCTGGACAGGCAGGTGGGTCCTGGGACCAGACTCGGTGGATCCTACTCAGGGGCAAGTGTCATAACCTCTTTGAGCCTCACCTTCCTCATCTGAAAAATGGGGTTATTGAAAGCATCCTCTCAAGGGAGTTTGTGTTCAGGCTCCCATAGGAATTATGAGTCTTTACTGCTTAGCACAGCCTCATGCCTTCAAAAAGGCGGTTAAGAGGGAAAGAGTCACCTTCTGGAGTCAGTGCACCCTGCATTATAATAGAATTCTGGTCCAGGCGCATCAGAGCTGTGTGACCGTGGGTGAGTCTACTTCTCTCCGGGCCCTAGTTTCTTCATCTGCAAAAAGAGAATGTAGGTAAAGCAGCAGAGTCTAGACCGATTTTTCATCCTGTTGGCTTCAAAATCCTGCTATTTGACCCTGGAAACAATGTGACTTTTCTAGGCTAGTGTTCTTTTCAGTTTTTAGGACCAGGACTCACTGTGACACAGTTCATATACAAAGAGATGCATATGGATGTAAACACACACACATACAAATACATCAGAAACAAAAGTTTCCCCAAATAATTCTTCTCCACATGGGATCCATTCTATTTTCTTTTTTTTCCATTCTATTTTCAGTTCTACTCTTCATTTTCAAAAGTTGCTTGCAAAAAGAAAAAGTTGCTTGCCAAAGGACTTCCCTAGAGGTCCAGTGGTTAAGACTTTGCCTTCCAAAAAAAAAAAAAAAAAGACTTTGCCTTCCAATGCTGGGGAGTCCTGGTTCAATCCATGGTGGGGGAGCTGAGATCCCTCATGCCTTGGGCCCAAAAAACAAAACATAAAACAGAAACAATATTATAACAAATTCAATAAAGATTTTAAAAATGGTCCACATCAAAAAATCTTAAAAAGTTGCTTGCTGAGACCAAAAGATTTCTTGCACACTACTGGATCACAAATAGGAGACTGAAAGTTAGATATCTTGGTGGGCTGTATTAGTTTGCTATTGCTGCTGTAACAAATTACCACTCACTTGACTTAAAGTAATACCAATGAATTATTCTGCAGTGCTGGAGGACAGAAATCCAAAATGAGTTTCACCGGGCTAAAATCAAGGTGTTAGCAGCCTGTGTTCCTTTAAGAGCCTTCAGGGGAGACTCCATTTCCTGCTTTTTTCCTGCTTCTAGAAGCTGCCTGCATTCCTTGGTTTATGGCTCCTTTCTCTTAAAACATTTTTATTCTTAAAA